GACACATGTGCTCACCAGAGAGAGACAGAGAAAGAGAGGGAGAGAGAAAGCCTCCACTTACAGGTGCGATCATGCCATAATCCCTTCTCCTCCCATTTCTTTATCTCGTCAGGACTTTGAGTGCACGCACACATTTTTTCAAGCCACTGGAAACAGGATTCAAATTGTGGTTGGTTGTGTGGGATCTGGATCTTGTTACTAGGTTACTGGACCAACCCCATGCTACTATTTTCAACATTCATTTTCTGTTCTGTTTTTTAGGTTGAACAGTGTATTCAGTATTGCCATAAAAACATGAATGCCATAGTAGCTACCCCATGCAACATGAACTGTATTAATGCAAATCTTCTTACACGTATAGCTGATCTATTCACACATAATGAAGTTGATGATTTAAAAGATAAGAAAGATAAATTTAGAAGGTAATTTTTAAAATTTAACTTTAAACCTAATGTTGTTATTAAAAAAAATGTTATTTCATTTTTGTGAACTATTATATTTTTAGAATAGATCTAGAAATATATTTTTATTTTCTTTTAAGTGAAGTAAAATTTATACAGCATCAGTCAAGATAAAAATTATTAGTTATTTTTATAATGAATATATGAGCATATGTTAGTAGTGAATTATGTTAAAAATTATTAAGACAGGGGCCAGGGGACCAGCAGTTGGCATAATGACTATGTTGCTGGACTCCCATGTAGTCGATTGTGGTTCGAGTCCTGGACCCAGTGGCTTAAACTGAAACTGACGCTGGACACGTGTGCGTGCGTGCCCAAGATCCCAAGAGAAGAATGGAGAAGGGATTGCGATGTGGCCATCCTCCTTGGGGGATGATTTCTCGTTTTCTGTCTCTCTGTCTCTGTCTTTCTGGTGAGCGCACACACCGTATAGCAAAAACTTCTCCAAAAAAAAAAATAAAAAAAGACAGGGACTGGCAAGTGGCATGGTGGTTGAGGTGCTGGACTCCCATGTGGTCAACCGTGGTTTGAGTCCCAGACCTGGTAACTTGCTTTCTCATTCTCCGTTTCTCTCTCTCTCTGGTCAAATTGAAGAATAACAGTAAGTTATTTAAATAATTTTTTTTAATTATTAAAATGGGATGGCAGGTGGCCTGATTGTTAAGGTGCTGGGCTGCCACGTGGCTGACCATGGTTTAAGTCCCAGACTTGGTGGCTTGTTTTCTCACTTGCCCTGTCTCTCTCTTTTTGAGTTAAAAATAATAATTATAAGTAAAAATTGACAATTCTTAAAAAGTTATTAAGACAGGTCTTCATATACAGGGCAAGAGTAGTGGGAGGGAGGATCAGCAGTATGCATATC